GAGAGAGAAATGCTCTGATTGAACCTAGTCATCACAAAGAGGTAATGTCCACAGGGCCTGTGTGCGCGGCATTTTAACAAAGTGTAGAAAAGAAGAGTGTGTTATGATCGTTGAGAGGGTCGCTGAGCTCAGCGGAGGCCATCGTTAGGATGTCTGCTGCCCTTGTGTGCTTCCTTCCCTACAGACTTCCCTCTGTCATCAGGTGACCAGCAAGCAGTGCTGAGGACAAACCTGCACTGACTGTGAATGAAACATGAAGATGAGTGCTAATGCCTCACATGTGGATTGCTTGTAGTTTCAGAGTACGGTCACAACCTTCTCATCAAGCTAACTCGGCCATGTCTCATCTTCTCGCCCTAAAGAAACACATGAAACTTATAATCTGCCCTGTTAATCTCTCATGAATTCTGATCTCTTTCATGCTGCTCTCGACTTAACAACACTAACATGCAGAACTCTTCTTTATTTTGTTTCCTGTATTTGAATTTAATTTGGATGGAAATTCTGATCAAAATGGAAAAACAATTATTATTCAGTTCTTAGGATAAAAACGATTGCCCTTTTTATATTCGTCATAAATATGTCAAAATGTTGATTTAATAATTAATTGACAAACACACGTAAAAAAATGGGAGTTGATTTCTTTTTATCTAGGTATTATAAATCTCCCATAAACCCTGGGTTTTTACAGCATCAAATATAACATCTATCATCCTCCTTTACGTTAACAACAGAGAGCAGCAGCAAAGTATAAGTTTTATATATACGGGATTTCAGTAAGTGAGCATTAATAGAATTGTAAGTGATACAGTGTTGATTATATTAAATATAACAGAAAAGCCACTTTACGTCACCCTTCACTTTCTATACGTTTTTTTAAAGCCTGTTTGTGAGAGCTGTAAGTGGGCCTGACCTGGGTTAGTGTGTTTAGTTTAGTGTGTGTGACTGAGCTGCGTGGACAGCATGAAGTATGGCAGCAGCGGAGGGGAGTTGGCTGACTGTCCCACCGAGTCCAGAACTCGCTGTTTGGGTTGGCACCCCATCCAAGAACCCGCCAATCCAAACACTGGAGGGCTGTTCACAGGCCATTACCCGTGTGATTGACACGGAGGCCCACCACTCAGAGGACTGCACATGAAGGACACCGTGTGTTAGTGCCAGGAGTTTGTCGCTGAGGGTGATGATATGGCAGCTGATTGATTGACCTGTTAAAGCGTTTCACAGGGTTTTGTTGGTTAAATAGAGTCGATTGGGACTTCCTTCTCTGATGATTATTTTTCTTTTTGACTACTCATACTTTACTTTTGTGGCAGCATTATCGAGATACCGATTGATCATTATCGGCACTTACTGCAGGCCTCCACTGGAGCTAAAGCCATGGAGCTCAATAGGACTTTGCATTCTGGCGTTTATACGACTCGGTTATGTAAGCATTGCTCCTGACAGGGTTGATTTGGACATAAACACACTCTGTTAAAGTCTAACTCAGCTATGTAACATGACTGATGATGACTTATAGGCCTTGATTATGTGTCATGATATAATTCAACAGTATTGACCAGGTCATTATGATCGGAAATCGTAGAATTACATCACCCTACTGCCAGACCTCTTCTCACAGTATGGTGATTCCTGGTTTTGAATACCAGAATAGCAAGGCTTACAGTATTTTAGTTGCAGGTGGGCTCATATTGAAGGAGGCCATCTGAACAAAGGTGCGTTATTAGTCGTCATTCACACAGCCACTTTTAAAGGTAGGGTAGGTAAGAATGGAGAAACCAGCTCGAGTAAGCTAGCATTTGAAAGTACACAACCGGAACAAATCTGCCCCTTCCTTCAGACTTCCTTAGAGAGCCCCTCCTCCAACACACACAAACGCGCACATGACCAATGAGGGCACGAGATAAGTTTGTGCACAGATGGAAGGCTGACAGGCAGGTAGGCCATCCAGTTACTTAGCGGCGGCTCAGATGATTGGTCGTGCTTTTTACAGCGCCACGGCTTCCACAGATGACATGTTGTTATGGATTTATTGTCAAAGCACTTAATATATTCATTGCTATCGGGATGTTAAGAGCATTCCATGGAATATAACAAAAAGTGTTTCTGAAGTGAATTACCTACCCCACATTTAAGGTACTTGTCTGGTGAACATTGATGATTTAAGGATTTTAATAATCAACCAATGCTGTCATTTTACCTGCCAAGTCTCATACAAAGTGTCAAAACTGTCTATCATTAGCACGTCTCATGCATGTTATTCCTGAGAAAGCGTGAGTTAAGGCACGCTGCGGCCTCATGGAAGTACCGTCCTCAGCGTTTCTGTGCTGGGAAAGTGAGCTCTGTGGCATTGGTTCTCACCATTAACGGGGTTTCCCTCCTGAATAGGCCCTGCCAAACTATGCAGCGTCCCGCGGAGTTCGAGATGAGGACATGGGCTTGCAGTGAAGCCTAGCGGTTCCTACTTCCTATCAATGACAAGAAGCATCAATCTTAGCTGCCCTTAGTCCTAGGCCCTGCCAAGCACGATTCCATTGTGAAGAAAAAAAGAAAACTGCTGGAATTAAACAAAGACTGGATTATCCTCTCAATATGTCTTTTAGCAGGACAGTTCTTCTCTGAATCCCCCATGGTTCAGAGCGGAAGAAGCGTCATCGTTTTAGAGCTTGACTGCTGTCGATGCCGTCAGATTTATTTGTGTCTCTCATCTCACACCCTTGCCTTGTCTGCAAACTATTGCGTTGAGAGGGTAAATGCAGTTGGAAATAAAGTCCAGCCCTTTTCCTTAGACTTAATACAAAAAAACACAATTTAACATTGTATGTGATGCTTCCAAAAACATTCCTTGTGACATTTATTCTCTCACACCTTCTGAAACCCAGCAATAACCCTGTTAAATAAGCACGGTGTGGAGATTGCTTGGGAGCTCCTCTGGGTTTCCCCAAACACTTGAGGAAGTCCTCCTCGTTGCAGTGATTGGGAACGTGTCCGGACAGATTGTGGTGCTACTCCGCTCACACTGCACACCTTCAGTACCTTCAGTTCTGTGTTTGTTCAGGTGCAGCAGACCATCCGCCAGTTGGTGTTTTTTCGACTGCCTTGCTACCATTCACAAGTATATTAAAAAGCGAGAGTTTTACGAGCTTTAACACTTTTACAATGTAAAAACCTCACAAATTCAAATTAGATTAGATTACTTTATTGTCATTACAAAAATGCAAGCACAGTGTAACGAAATTAAGGAGGGTCTAACCAGAGTGCAAAACAGTCAGTTATATACACAATTATCAGAAGTATGTACAAAATAAATGATACGAAAATAAAGGTAAATAGATGGGAAATGTATAAATAAGAATAAATACACAGATAATAATAAATACAGGGAATACAGAATTGCGCTTCACAAATGTGATGGTTTTGGCATTCTCAGATAGGTTAAAGGACTAGTTGACATTTTAAGAAATATTATTTGTATCTGATCAGCCGTGGACTTAGATGTTAGACGATAACATTAAGACAACCCTCATGTCTGCACAGTAAATATAAAGGTACATAAAGGAGAGGCTTAAGTTGGCAAAAAGAACTTAGCCTGCAGCTCTGGAGAAAATGAGGAGACTACTCAGTTTGTATATGTATGGTAGCCATTCTATTCCAGTGTCTGTTGAATTCCAACACAGAGAAATGTTTATTATAGAATAATAAAATAATAAATAATAAAACCAGAGAAACTGATAATGCTGAAGTGGCCACCGTTTAAAGGTGGTTATTTGATATATTGTATATCCTCGTTTCAGCTGGCCATGACATCTTTTTCCTCATAACCCCTTGCACAGTACAACAACACATTGCTGTTTTGCTATATTGCTATCTTCTGTTCTTTACTGTCCACTAGAAGCGAATAATCACATTTCTCAAGATGTCGGTGTGATGAAAGTATTGGAGCAAAGAACTAGAAACACATGGTAGACATTAACTGAGACACAGTAGTGACACCACAGCCTCCGTTCAAACCAACACACTTAATCACTCCTAATCAGTAATCAACATTATACTACTGCAGGTTCTGTCCCTGGCAGGGTCAAACTGTCCTGTTGTTGTTGTCTAAAAGAAAATATTTGTTTATGGTCCTATCTAAGACACATAAAACTTTTTAGATAAATAAAAGATGTGCATCGTCATCAAGCTAAAAATAGTGTTAAATGTGTATTTGGGCTCACACACTGTGATGCACACCATGCGTAATACTAGAAGTTTAATTGCTTGATAATTGATCCCTTAATCACACATCAAGGCTGCTTCATAAAACTTAAACCTCATTTAATAACTTGGGCTGCTTTTATTAAAACAAATACATCTCTATACATAGACTATATGGGGCTCTGTGCTTCTGGGATATTTGAAGGTTACTGTTCTCTCTTGTACTGCTCCAGAGGCCAGAGTGGACTGGAGGTGCCAAAAAGCACAGACTAGACGGGGTGGTCCGGAAACAGCCCAAAATCCAGTGAAACTTAACAAGCATGTTCCCGTTGGATGTTAAAATGAAGTGTAACACAGATATTAATGTAGCAAGTATCACAACACAGCAGAGGAATGTAAACTGGAGCACTGGGACATCAAGCTGGACGCTAACCAGCTACAGCCGAATACCCCCAACCACCATAAGAACCTGAACGCCTCCTCCTCCAGCGGCCAGTTACACTCAAGCCTCAGGTTTTCATCACGGCTGGCCAGGAGCAGGACTCAAACTACTCCTTCTGGGGTTGAACGTGTTTAGTTACTCATCTGGGGAGGTTGGGTTTTGAGATAAATCACTTGTGGTGATGTAAAGGCAGCTGAATGTGTGTGAGGTTTCAAGGCCCGCATATAAATCTCATGAAAGATTATATGTTAGCTCTGTAACATGTTAATGAGCAGGTAATGCAGCGATAACCGCTGAGATTTGGACTCTTTGACTCCTGTTTCATGTTGGATCTATGTGTGTTTTTGTTATTTTCATACAGAGGTGTCCTTCATTTGGGCTGCTCACCAGGTTCACCACAGTTCAGAGTACTATAACCTAACCACCGCCCTCAGACAGTCCCTCACCCAGCAGTTCACGTCATGGGTAAGATATCATTCATGCTTTCAAAGGATAGGTTGGTTGATTATCTTGTTGAATTGTCCACATATAAATAAGAATAATAAATTCATTATTTATAATACCAAGTAGTGTCTGTGAGGGAATATCTTATTCTTCTTCCCTCATACTGAATTTCAATTAGTCCAATAACAATAAAATGGGACAAGAATGGATCAGAATGGATGACAAGTACGATGACAAATTCAATGATACAATCTGTGATAAAGACTAAAAGGATTTGATGCCATTTTTGTTTGCATTCTCGATGACAGCATGCACGTTGTGTAGCAAGAAGAGATATGATTGGTCGGAAACCAATGTCATGTCAGAGCCATGGCAAAAATGTTCGACTACATTCATCTGACACATTGACCATATTAACAGACACACATATTATATTGTCTCAACCATTAAAGCTCTAAACTATTAAAAATGGTTTTGAGGGCCACACAGTTGCAGTAGGTCACATGTGGCTGAGTAACACAGACAATGTAGAAACGTTGGACTAATCTTTGGTAAGAGATCGACTTTGTACAAAAATAAAACTATTGCCGGAATTATCTGTAAATCTGTCGAAGTTATATCAAGTGCTCCTAATTTCAGAGTGACATTACTAGTGGAGAGATTTTAAGTGGAAAAGAACACCAGTAATTCCCTGTGTCAGATTTTCTACCAGCATCCACACATCTGGAGCAATAATGTAAGATATGTTAGTGATCGTGTTACTTAAATGTTTCATCTGTTGCACATAAATCCCTGGATGTGTTCTTAAATTAAGCTTTATGTTAGTGAAGTAGGACTTTGTGTATACTGTATTATCTTTTTTCTCCTCTTCTCCTCAGATTTTCTACCTGCCCATGGCTCTTATTGCACCCCCCGCGGTCTTCGCCGTCCACATACAGTTAAACCTTCTCTACCAGTTCTGGATCCACACTGAGGTAAATGTTTAAACACTGGTCATATATTCTGTTATTAATTGACTGTTTTTGTGGAAAAACAGTGATATAATCTGGAAAAATTGAAACATGGGATAATGGGGAGTGGGCATCGATAATGATCTTTAATGGTTAAAAGATTTGACCATTGGACAGATGGAGTAAAACAACAACTACTATCAGTTATTACCTCACACGGGTCCTGTGTTATGTCTCTGTGTGAAACTCTGACTTTTTACCTGCATGTGAAGTGTTAGGAAAAGATTAAGATGCTCTTTGTTACATTGGCCTTGTGTACTGTATACTGCAGGGGAATGAAATTATTAATTGATTTGTTTAAATAGACCTTTTCTTTCAATTGAATACATTATTAGTTGTAACTCAAATAGAATAATGTATACTTAATAAAATACTTCTCAAATAGGAACATGTAATATTAGTCAAATCTGTAAATATATTGTCTATTCGTGCAGCTCTGTCTGCATTTCTTCTCCTCCATTCATGGTTGGTGCCCAAAGTTAAAAGGGTAATCCGACTGAACACAAGTCTGTAAAGTTATCTTTCTCCCCGTGCCAATACTAATATGTCTGCTGAGTCGAGCCTTTGTAGATCCCGTGTTGCAGTGGAACCTGTATTCAATAAAAAATAATGAGATTTTATGAAATATTCCAAACAGAAGCATGACCGCTCTCAGCCTTTAAAGCGACTGGGAGTATCACTGTTACAAGCCCCACAATCTGGAGAGGGAATGAATGGATTTGGAACGCCTTCCATCTTTTAGTGCACTATTAGTGAAAACAGTCGTAATAGTCACAATTTTCTGGAGGGATGTAATTTATGCCTCCTTTATGGGGCTTTTTTTTTTTTGATGTCATGTAATTTATTGGCACGCTATACGCTGCGCCGCTCCAGCCTCAGAGCCGGAGTGAAGTGGTGGAGACCCTTTTCATTCAAGATAAAACTCTCACGCTCGACTGCCAGACGCAGCCATTACATGGGAATAATGAATCACTGAGAAATGATGTCCAGCCGTGCACGTTTCTGCAGACTGAGGGGTCTGCAGTACTGATGTCAAACATCAAAATATCTGAGAGTTTCATCAAGAATAGAAACACGAAGTTTGTGAAATATGCTCTGTGTGACCTCTGTAATCTTTAATGACTCACTGGGGCATCTGTTTAATATCAAAGAAAATAACATGATTTATGTTTCCTAGTTTTATGCAAAAAAAGTTTTACATGAGATTATTTTTACAAACTGCCATATTTTTCTCTTATCCTACCAGTAGACACATACTGTTCTCCATTAAACAATTGAACTGATTTGAGCTGATTTTGATTGAGGAAACAAACAAAATGATGGTTATTTGTGAGTGTTTGATTGATATTGATATTAATGGTGTTCTTCTTTTTCACATAAAAACAAACATAGGTGACCTCACTCAATACAAGAAACAAGTCTACCATAAAGCATCATTCGCAAAGTTATCTAAGGCAATCTGTTTGTTTTCTGTTTGGTCAGAATTACAGTATTACATAAAATTGGCAAGTACACCTTTGATACAAAAGAATACATTAGAGTAAATGATTAGTCAGTTGTCAGTAGTCATATGGACTGGCACATATTCATGATCTTCAGATGATGAACCTTTATGACTTTGTTAACCCTCTGACCTTTTGTCTAGTGCCCCTGTCAAGTCAGAATATGTCTCTACCCCAATATTTTAATACATTGAAATGTATATCCTCCCAAAATAATCTCCATGTTAACAACAACATATTCAAATGGACATGTTGCGATAGAATTAAGTAACACAATTACAGTATTCTCCCCGGTGGATGAACTGGAGATTGGGTTGTGATGATATTTACAGAACACATTATATGTTTACATTTATTACTAATTAGTTGTGTTTCATTATTCTATTTTAGTTGATCAAAAATCTTGGACCTCTGGAGTGGGTTTTCAACACACCAACACATCACAAAGTTCATCATGGTGAGAACGACATTCTTGTCTTTAGATTTTTCCATGGCTTAGACTTAACATTAACAGGAAAATAAAACATATGTGATACAGGCTGAAATGTTATAATGACACTTGGACTGATTTGGTTAGTTTTTTTGATTGATTGATTGATTTTATTTCGAACAAGTAAAATTACAAAAACAAAACAAATGTTGCAGTGCATAGTCATGTAAAACAAATCAAAACATGAAAATGACATTTACAACAACAACAACAACAACAACAACAACAACAACAACAACAGAATTATCAACATAAACAGTGCCACATCTAATGTTCGAAAAGGAGTGAGAAGAAGATTTATTTAATCCCACCCCCTTGTCCCTAAATGATTTATTTATAATTTGTAATCTGCAATAATTATAATTTTTATGCATTATTATTGATATTATTAGTATTATTAATCGGCTTTATCTGTTGATTGACATATATACATATACACATATACATACACATACATACACTGATATACATACAGTATATGCACACATACATATACACACCTACATACTCACACATATACACATACACATAGTCAAACACCTTCCCCATCCCTGTATCTCGAGAAAATAATTTCTCTGTATTTCCTCTTGAACTGGTTTAAATATGTTTGTTGTTCATCAGACAAAATATTATTCCAACAGGGAGGAACAGCTACTGCATTGACAAGAATTACGGAGGAATTCTCATCATATGGGACCGATTATTTGGTAAGAAAAAGTAATCAGAAATGTGGTACCAGAAGTAAAGATTCTGAATGTTTTTGCTGAACAGTTATATTCATAATATAGGATTAGGATTAAAACTAAAGACAAACAATGCTGCCTCCATTTCTTAGCTTTGCAATAAAACATACCCTATCCTCTTCTTTCATGAACTGCTAAATTAGCATTTACTGCTAAATGACAGCCTTATCTCCCCCTACGGACATAGAAGATATTAACTCTTGCTCACTGCTGCAAGATTATCTTCTTTTAAGGAGGAATGTTTTAGTGGACTGAACACTAGGAAGTGCTAAAGCATACCCTGACTTTGATGATGTGTAGCCAACTGACATTTATGAGGATACAAATGTGTTTTTTTTAAGGTTATGCCCCATATTAATGTATATTTATTTATATGCATTTTTTGTAGATATTATTAAAAATCAATATTTCAATTTTGCAGAGAGTGTTCGGTGCTTTATATTAATTTAAAGTCATATAAAGATATTAGCAGCTTGTGGTTTCACAGGGCTTTGAGATGTGACTGTTAAGTGTCTCTCTTTAAAAATATAATAGTCTCCTCCTGTGTACCATGAAATGGTTGAAAGATGATATTAGTGAGCTGTTTTCAGTGTTCGTATCAGCACTGGTTTCTGTGACGCTTTGCCTCTCATTATTCTATAAAAAGTTGTGGTACTATCCATTATAGCATCAGCATGAAGGGAAACAGTGACTCTTTAAAACTTAGGTTTGCCTGCAGCCTTCATACCCGACTCAGCAATTCTTCCACTAAACGTCAGCGAGAGGTAACTGATTACATTTTGTGGTTAACGTTATCCAGAGTTTTCTGTGGCTGCAGAAGGATTTACGTGTTTTATCCCAGGAGCTGTGATGCCAACTTTATCAATGTTCTTCTTTTGCAGGTTTTATATTTTACTCTTTAAATTATTGTATTGTATTTGGAGTATTCATATCCACAAGTTGGGAAAATGTATATGTCATATCCCAGACTGGACTAATTTTGCAATCAATGCTTGAAAGCTCGTAATGCTGGTTACAAGTATAGGTAGAGTTAATGATATTTTTTCACATTATTTCAGTTTTTTATATTCAAATTGTACATGTCCTTGTCAGGTACCTTCACTGCAGAGAAAGAAAAAGTGGTGTTCGGCCTGGTGTCCCCTATCAACACCTTTGAGATCCTCTATGTTCAGGTGGGTTCCATCCGCCATCATTGGTGCGACCAGCATCTCACCTCCATCCCTCTGAGTGCAAACACCTTTTAGTAAATGAGGCATAGGCTCATGTTTCCCTTTGCTGGCTGAGTGGCTATTTGGTAATCATAACATTACTCCACTCTAAACAAACTGCCCAGCTGAGGGTGAAGGAGGCCAATAAAGTGAAATGCCAGGAGGTGGATGTTGTGATTATTTTCGCTGCCCTCACTGTGAGCAATGACCTGCCCAATGAAAGCAGAAACGTTTCTACTCAGGATTAGCCATAGCAGTTATGGCTTCATTAACATCCATCAGTTGAATGTTGTGTCTGATGTTTGACCTTTTGAATTTCTTCTCTTTTAGTTACACTACTATTTGTATTTGGGGAGAAGATCTACAACTTTCAAGAGTATCGGCGACAAATGTTTGACATTCATCAACGGCCCGAGTTGGAAACCTGGTAAACCTCGGCTTGGCGACCATCTCGACAATCCCAAGGTAGTAAACAACATTGTCCCTGTTTTTATATCTGTTTTTTCAGAATAGCATTATACATTACCCATCATTTTGACACACGCAACACACAGGGCTAAATGACTCAGAGCATTCCTTATTGAAGGATTCACATATTCTACAAGTTTTACAAGGAACTGCCACATCAAATAAAAGCTGCAAAGCCTTTGTTGAGGGAACACAATAAGTTCATTTTCACCGTCTTTAAACGCAGTCTGCGGGATTAAAACCGCATGCAGTTGAGTGTGAATGTGTGTGTGTGTGTGTGTGCAGAAAGAAATACAGGCTCCAGTCGAATGCCCCGGCGGTTAGCTTTGAAATAACGCTGATGGTGTCACATATTTAGTTCCCTCATGCTTCACACTCAAAAAAATAAACCTCCCCTTTGCCTTAACAATTAAATTGGCCCCTTTAAACCCAGCGGTGTGATTCTAAACACGGACAGAGCTGGAATTGAACCGAAATATCTTGAAAGGCCTTGTGTAGACGGCTGCTAGTTGATATCTGCCGCTGAGGGAAAGAAAGGAAAAAGAGGGGGAGTGAGGGAGGAGAGGAGGCTGAACGTGTTTCAGCTCTTTGAGAATAAGCAGAGCAGCGTGCTGAAATACCTACAGGGCTGGGGATGGGATGCGGGGGAACCCACATGTGGTGGTTTGGTTCCTCGGGATCCTGGGAAACCCCCTGAATAAGACACAGGAATCATTGGCTAGGTTTTTTTACTCCATTCCAAAAAGGATGCAGATTCAACACAAGGCCCTCAGGCATAATTACTTTTGGTCCGAAACAGACTAAAACAGGTCAATGACTCAGGGAATTCTTAAGAAAGGACTCATATAATAGATAATACTGTGTGTTTGGGGAAAACGGCTGCACCCAGTAAATGCTTGTTGACTTTCTGCACGGAACAAAGCAGACTAATTGTCACCCATTTTTATAATTCATCCTGAAAGAGATTGAAGCAACTTAAGTACTTTTTGTGGTGAGAATAAACACAATGGAAGTAAAAAAATAATCGGAAGAAAGTAAGATTATCAGAGAGTTTTAAACATGACTTTTATGAGTTCAATTAATACATTTTCCTTTTTGAAAGGCTTCAAACATTCTCACTGACTCACTTTTCCTCTCTATTAGTTTTCATTTTGCATTACTTTCTTTCAACTCTTGCCCTGATGCTGTTTTAATTCTCCTTTCCTTTATAAAAACAACTAGCTGAAAACATTTTTGTAGCTTTAATGGTTTCTAAACAGTTGAATGGGCCTTGAGAAATAATACACCCACAATTATATTTTATATGTATTTTTGCTGGTTGTTAATAAATAGTCATGTTATGAGCGTTTCACTTCCCTGACCAGTACAACCATACTGTAAATCTTCTGAACATGTTTCAATAAACATGAGGTAAACCTATGTGAATCATCGTTATATAAGTGTGGGCAAAATGTGGTATGAGAATCAGTCCAGAATATTACTCTCCTTACCACAAAAATTAGGGATTGAGAAATTAAAAATGTTTTATTTTCCATGTGCAGTTGACCGGACAGGAAGTGCCTCATTATCCCAACTGGTCGCTGCCTTTACAAATGTATGTGATCATACATTTCCTGCTGGCGCTAGGGACCTACCAAGATGTGTTTGACAACAAGATGGTATGTATTTGTCCTATACGACAAACTGTAAATGTCAAAAGCACATTGGGAGTCCTTCTGAAGGAGGGAGTGAATTCTGTAAGGTTGAAACTGTTGACCTTCTAGGTCACACACTGACTACTGTTATGTTTAGGTTACAGTTATCCCTCATATAAAGTATGACAAGGTGGTCCAGGGCTCCTAATTTAAGACTGAGTGCTGCATGTTTGTATGCCAACATTATTTCACCCAATTATGCAGTTTGTTGTGGCTGGTCCATGGTCGAGTAGAGTCCTCTACTTAGCCAGCAGGAAAAGACTAGCTCTGACTAACATCATGACAGAATGACTGATCGGCATTCCCCTTTAGAACAACCTTTGTCTATTATTTTCCACTCGACGAGCCAAAAGACCCCCTTCCTCCTCCATCACAAAAAAGAGAAACAGGTCTCCGCAGCAGTTATCTTTGGAAGCCTATTTTCCCCAGGCATAGTTTTGGTTAGCCAAAAAGTGCTGTCACGCCCAGCCCCTTCAAACTCCCAAATAAAATGGCCTGTCTTTTTCTGATCACTACCTCCGTGGTGCTCCTTCAGTTGTGGTACACACACACACACACACACACACACACACACACACACACACACACACACACACACACACACACACACACACACACACACACACACACACACACACACACACACACACCTCCTTTCCAGGGTCGAGGGCTCCCCTCCCTCTCGGCGAATGAAACACCAGCTGGTGGTCCAGCAGTGAACACAAACGCCTTAATTGTCGAGTCAACCATTTCCCAACCCAAATAGCCTTCAGGATGCAGCAATCAGGACTTGGAAGGAAAATAACAAAGTGAGCGCTCTGGCCCAACAATAAATCATGTCACTCTTATGTATTTATACCCACATGTTCGCTAGGCGCTTATTCAGCTTGACAATTGATTATACACTGCCGGACAATTTATGGGTATTGCATTAATCTGAAGCCATGAAAACATAAAGTAAGGCTAGTCTTCAATTACATCAGCAGCAGGCCAACGTTCACATTTTATTATAGGGTGCTAAACTGTTTCTATTGCAGGCAGGGAGAGGAACTGACCATGTCATTAAGTCTTATCTCAGAACAACTCAATAACATTTGTGTGTTATGATGATTGCTAAAAGTGTGGACTTCAGACTCCAATTATGTGTAATCTGGGTGTGATTAAAGCAGATTTATTCTAAAGGCTCATACTAATTTATGTCAGATGTCAACCCTCAGCATTTACAATGGTGCAAAGAAACTAAGTACATTTACCAAACATTTGTAAATACTGTACTACTTCTACTTCACTATACATCAGAGGTTAATATTGAACTTTGTACAATGCTGTCATTATGCAGATTCAGATTTATACTCACACAAATACGATGTATTATTATTATAGGTAAGATGAAAGCTGATGCTGACACACGACTGCATCAATAATTATCATCCAGGTTTTATGTTATACATTAGTCTAAAAATAAGCACTTTTGATCTTGGTTTTCTATCTTAATGCCAATACTTTAGTACTTAAATTAAATATCTTAGTACTTTGTTCACTGAGCAGTTAAATCTCTGGGAGTGAACATGAAATAAATAATCTTAAATAAGAAAATGTCCATATCATACATTTTGAATGAAGATTTGAATTTTATATTAAAAAAAGTATGAAGAGTATAGGATGTATATTATCTTAGTAACATTTTGCTACTGCTGAATTTCCTCAATGGTTACTCTGTCCAGCAAACCCTCATGAACTTCCCCATAATAACGGCTGCAATAAAAGCCGGAATAATTACTTAATCTGCCTCGTCTCGGGGGACAACAGAATAACACAATCATTACGCTGCCACCAGATGTTAACTTTCATTTCTATCCTGTTCTGTTATTGCTGCAGTTTGACACTTGTTCAGCGTACAATTTAACACGAAGAAAGAAGCATTTCTTCATCCATGTTCTTTTTGAAAGGGTTTCATAAGCGTAACCCCACCTGACGACTCCGAGGGATTTGGAGGGGATTTTCTCTCGAGCATGGCGTCTTGACCGCATGTGTTGACAGAGAGTCAAACAAACACATAAGATCATGTGACAAGAGTGTCTCGGCAGCTGAACTCCCTGGGTTATTGAACACAGATAAGTTCACATAACCTTTGATACCAAAATAATTCTCTGCTCATTACACCTCTCGCTAAAAATAACTATATCTGTAGCCTTTGAACTCTCATGCAAGAATCAACTTTAATACACTTTGACAGTCTGGTTCCTTCAGTCTGATAGATGGAACGAGGCCAGAATTATTCCCCCCCCCCGTGTTTGATTCACAGAAAACATAATTATATCATCCCTTTATGTTCCCATGAGGGTCTCCACACAATAAAGTTCTTGTCGGGGCTTATGGATAGTTTTATTGCATCCTGTTGATGGGTTAATTTTATGTTTACTTTATATGGCCTTCTGGGTCGGAACAGTATGGGAGCAGTCAGTAATATCTGACTGTTAGACTCTGTATTGAGTGTCGGAGAAATATAAACCTAAGATGACAGCCCGTGGCATCCTCAGGAGACACCGGGCTTCCAGCTGCGGCCCCCTGCCAAGGCCGTAGGTTAGAGAACACGAATTAGGCCGTACATCACGTTCTGTACCGCTCAATTTTTTTGTGTTCGTCCCAAATAGCTCTCAAAAGGTCAGTGAGAGTCTGCATGGAATTTCTGATGCGATGTTGGTTGTTTTGGCTCAGCTTAGGGGCTATCGGGATACAAACTGCAGGCTCTTCCACTGTGGTCAAGTCCCCCGTCAAGACCCATCGTGGATGATTAGAGCGTCTATATGAACTAGGCATGTCAGTGTAAAGTAAGAGGCCGATTACATTTGCTGCAGGATACTGAATGTGCCAGTACACTTATTCTGAAGGTAAGAGATGTTTTGGTTGGCATTGCCAAGTAAACAGTCGAACAGACGTGTGGTTTGTTACTGCTCTCCCACTAAGGTCTCCTGTGATCGTTACTTAACCAGCCATGATATTAATTTAAGGTTTCAATTCTAATGTATTTTTTCCCAACCACAAATGTCTCATGGCATGCGAACATATGTTGATTCCTAGACGCTGTCACAGTTTAACATGCTGGGGATGACCGGCTACGTTCTGCTCACCATCACTTCCATGGGCTTCCTTGTCGATCAGAGGTACAGTACTGACATTTGTTCATGTGTTAATTATTTTATAGTAACTTGGAAATGTATTTAGTAAGACTAGAAAAAGGGAAAAGGCTCTACCCCCAGCATGTTGACTCCAAGGGGTCACAAGATACATCTGAAAAGTCTTTATATAAGAATAACACTCACCCATCTGAGTAAGGCTTCTCCATCTCTTTTACTGGAATTGACGTTTTAGTAGATCAACAATCTCATCTTCGTCAGGGGTCAAATGTATTTGGACTCAATCAGCTCTGGAAATTGAATGGCCTCCCATTAAAAAATATTATTATGTCTGTTACACCACAGCAGAAATGTGTCCTGGATATTTAGTCAAGGTACATACAGGTGAAGGTATTAAGCTGAAAGTGTTGTTGGTTGACATTTGCAGGCCAAGAGCGTCTGTCCTGGAGATGCTACGCTGCGTCCTCATGGCGACAATGCAGAGGTACGGCTATATGAAGCCCCTGCTGCCTACACTGGCTGTGACCACACAGGTAAGACCACATGTAGTGTGTTATAATTCATTTTAAAGTAGCAGTCTCATAAGGCTGTATACTTCCTCCACTGAAAAATATACCAAATAGCTTGCATTTAGAAACATTTATACTTTTGTGTATACTTAGCATAGTGGACACAAAATAAGATAACACTTTTCTTCTGGAGATTTCAATCATATCACAAAACCTTCATTTAGGGTTTTTTCCTTACTTTTGCATTTTCAGATTCATCATACATACTTTCCAACAGTCAATTTGACAGACAGACAATCTTTCTTATTATGGCCCATAAACTAAATATTCAAATGACAGCATTATGTACCCCTGTGTGTGTGTGTGTGTGTGTGTGTGTGTGTGTGTGTGTGTGTGTGTGTGTGTGTGTGTGTGTGTGTGTGTGTGTGTGTGTGTGTGTGTGTGTGTGTGTATCCTCTGATTGTGTGTGTTGTGTGGTCTGTTCTGTGTGTGTGAAATGTGTTTGAGCTGGGTGCTAAGTCCAGCCCAGCAGCTCTGTGATCTATGAGTCCAGATGCCTCGCCCAATTGACCATAAAATTGGCGTGCCTTTCTGGCTCTGGCAGCCTAACCGTAGATGGCGGCTGACCTCTCATTACTTGCCCCCCCCTCCCTCCCTTTCACTGCCTCTTTTTTTTTTGTTCTGCCCGCCCTCGGTGCTTGCCATCTTAGCCAGTGTGAACAAAAGCAACACTTCTGGAACCAATTAGTGCCGTCTGCCACTAACTAGAGCTGCCTGATGAGATTTGCACGTGAGCGCTGAATCGCAGCTTTTTTTGTTCTCTGACTCCACATCTGTGCTGCTCAGGTGTTCAAAAGACAACTCGAGGCTTTCCCACCTTTTCTTTTTCTCATCGTAAAATGGAATAAAACTGAATGAATTATAATTTCTTAAAGCCATGTCTTAAGTGCATATCCAATCAGATTCAGAGCATAAAACGTCTTGATTCATGCTGCACGTGCTGCACGGCTGTGTCACTTTGACAGCGCTGTAAGTTTTATGCAGCCATTTCCTTAAGCGAATCATTAGGCCTCATTTCAAGTCGCAGTACATCAGCTTGAGTTAAATAAATGTCCTGCTTGCAGGTGGGGCTCATTGAAAATCCACACAATTTACTTCAATTGGTTCCTGACATATTTGTGCCATTTGCTCAGATCTACAGCAAAGGGTAAAAACATGAAACCACCCCCAAACTTGAAGGTACTTTAATGATATATGGGTTTGACGTGTGAGGTGAACGGCCAACTCTTTGTTGCAGTGGGGGGGCGTGTTTTGAAGTCGGGCCAATCAATTAACAGTCACTCGAAATGGAGGAGGGTAAATTCACATTTAATTGTATTCAGGCTCATGCGACTGTACAGTTCGGAAAAGGGGGGGGACTGAAAAAAAAACTACAAAAACTAGGTCGGTTTGTGGTCCATCAAACCCAGTGGTGTGATATACTGCACCCTTAAAGCTCACAGTGGTATTTATAGTGGCTCTGGAGATTTCCCTTGTAAAGCTACAGGCTTGACCTGTAAACCAGGGCTGCCTCTCTCTCCCAGCCGCCCACTCGCCCGCCCCAAACCCCCGTCTGTGTGGCGCACATGAAGAAATGGTTCAGATGAGACGAGGCTGCTATCCGGGTGTGAGAATGAGCAGGGGTGCGGGTTGTATGAGGTTATAGCTGTCTGTGCGAGTGCCGTTGTGTGTGTTTGTGTATGAGCATCTTTACGTGTGTATAGAGTAGTTGTACTTGTCTCAATCCTAAACCAATCTCAGGTTGTGTCATCATGGACGCGCACAAAAACAACCCAACTGATTATGGCTTTTTGATGCATACACTGAGATCAATAGAGATTTAGGAAATCTGGTAATAATACATTAGCGTGTTTTCCTTTTTAAGATACATGTATAAGATGAATAAAAGTTTTTATGACTAAGATGTAACCGAGTGAGTGGGACATTTTATAGAGACTGCACAAACTATATAATGGGGACATTTTCTAAATATGCTTTTGTGCTGGCCAATAAATGCCAAAATCCAGAAATCTTGAATATGCAAAAGTTTGCTCGGCTTATTCATCAGATTTACAAAAATAAACAATTATCACTGCAATTAGCAACTTTACAGACCCCTACCTCACGCACAGTGCAACTGCTTCTGATATCTGCAACCAAGGACTGGAGCTAATACAGTATCTGCAAATGCTTGACGTTTGTGCTTGAAATAAACATTTAAATGATCAGGATTTTACCTATTCCATCAAAAAGCCCACCTATATTTTCACCTCTGTGCATGTGGGGTTCTCAGCAATTACCTAAATAAGCACTTTTCTTACAATTTGTCAACAGCAAATCCACAATATAAACATAGTTTTTATTGCAGGGTTGTACTTGATAGCATTATAATGTCTGTGGGATATCCCGCTGTCTAATCGTGTGTTTCACATACACATGTATTTCTGTGTGTTGAGTATCAGGGGTGTTGGTTTGTACTGTAATTATGTAACACATGCTTGTGTTACTGTGTGGGCCCCTGGTTTGCTTGAAGGCACAGGGCATCATGCTGTGGAGCTGAACTCAGACGCTGTATATCGCAGAGTAATTAATCAGATCTTCTCTCAAAACGGCAACTGCTGGTGACGTCACAGTAATTTAAGAGGAGAGCTCATAAAAATACACCTGTCTTTGGTTGAGAGCGAGAGAGCGTCTCAGGGCTTCCTGTTGAGTAGAAATAATGTTTAAATTTAACTTTTTGGTTTAAAATCCATTGAAAGTTTAGTCTACATGCCATTCATTTTTTCTTTCTGTCAGTTCTCCTTTTATGTAGTTATTAAAGATGCAAATATAATCCATAAGGAATAATAAAGCCTCAGAATATTGTCTACTTTCCTATTATTTTACAATATGACTGGGTTGTTTCCATATAATTAATGGGCTCAAGAAGTGGTACATTGGCTCATGCAAGTTGGACATTTGAGAAGCAGATATAAATCTATGTGATCCAGTCCAATCTTGAACATTAAAATCTTTCCATCTCTGTGCTGATAGGGTTCCAATCTGAAATAGCTTTTCTGTCAGACATTCAAGTGAAAGATAAATGATCCATGGCCAGAGGAAGAGGTCAGAACAATATTATGAAGGTTATGTCAAGCAGAAAGGCACAAAGTGAAGTTATCTTAAACACATCAACTGATTAGTCTGCAAAAGTGAAAAACCCAACCCTTTGTCCTGCTATCGCAGCCATGAGCCATGAGATAAGGCAGCATAAGGTGAGAGGTCAGCGTTATCTGAGAGTGTAGTTTCCTCTCGCTAAATCTCAGGTGCAAGGGGTCAGTGGCCTTTTTTTGAAGCAGGAATGTGTGGTAGCAAGAAGCAGCGCTGAGGTTAGCAGGATTGTTTTGGAGCAATGGAAACTCTGCGAGCATGACATCATCTGAGAGCTTGCAGGAATGGAAAGGAAAGGAAATCTCCTCCCAGGGAGAAAATGGAGGGATTTGAAAGAGAAATGCTGGGTAGAACTGTTCCGTTGGAGTAAACAGCGGGGTGGTCGACAGTACACAGTGTGAAATATTATCACTCAATGTGCAGGGGATCGGGCCCGTCAAAGAGTAACCGCTTGGTTTATGTTGTCAAACCACTTGCCAGGTAAAGCTATGGAAATCTTACAGCAATTGGCCCTTTGGGGGTTCTCTAGCAGTGTTTGGTTTGGCTTTTGTGGGCTAAGACTCTGGGGCCAACGTTGACTTTCTTTTGAATTTGTCTTCCTATTTGTGCTTTAATTCATGGGTGAAACACAACAGTCATCTAGTTTATGATAGAGCCTCAGAGCCAACATGTGAACCTGATTGAACCGGACGGCAGTATTTTTTTCTTACAGTATCATTTCTCCCTCTTCTGAAAGGCACATAAAGCAGATTTCACAGAACTGTAATGCCAATTTCCAAAATTTAAAACATAACAAAGGATAAAAGACTTTCCTAAAGTTCAAATATAAATAAGTCAATGATTTTTACTGAAAACGTTTTCAGAGTGAATAAAGGCTAAGCTTATTAATTTAGCAATCTTTATTGCAGTGCAAGCTTTCATCGCTCTTCCCTCAGTTTATTAATCTCTCTCCCCGCCACGCTCATTGGCTTACTGGCTAACAATCACACGTCTGATGTTGTAGTAAAATGAAATTCCTTATGGTGCTTTTTCCCAATAGTTTGCGCTACAGTATCTCGGGTGAAGTGAGCTGGAAAATGTCTCCAGATGCCAGGAGTTGTGAGCAGGGGGTTCGAACATACTTCTGATTTAAGGTTGCAAAACTGGAAATGGCAACTATAACACGCAGACCTCAACAAATCAATTGTTCTACATTGACAGTGAATAAATTGACAGGGTCTGATGAGAAGGTCTCTAGATTGAAGTATTTACCCCTTATAATACCCAGTCTCAGGGTGCTAGGGTTATTATTGTGCAAGCCCCTAGCTGGCTGATCTTCTACCTCCTCTCAACATGCCACTGTGCCCTTGAGCATCACACTAAACCCTGGTTGCTTCTGATTGGTAAGGGTAATCGCTACCCTTTAAAATGGAATCGGTCACATCACCCAACCCTTAATCAGTCAATATCTGTTTATTTTAAATTGTATTTTGGGCCTGTTAGAGATCTTCTGTGGCAATCAGATGGCAAACAGTTTTAAAGACAACAAGACACACTGTGTTTGGCAACATACAGTACACCCAATGTTTTTACAAATAAATGATTCAGGTGTTCCTGCTTTCTTCTGACCTTTGAGTGACCTTTGAGTGACCTTTGAGTTTCACTGCTACAGTATACACAGCTCCCACTACAGAAAGCAAAGGCCGCTCAATAGAAAGGTTTGTACAGAATAACTGTTGCAAGCAAAAGCACACAGAGTCAAAGGAGATGTTTCGAGGGTAAGTGCGGGGCCAGGCCTTAAGGACTCTACTTGACTGCTTTAGAGCTTGACTTCCTTAATGTAAACAGGTTTTTAG